CTGCCCGACGAGCCTGAGCCGGCCTGCGAGGTCTCAGGGGAGATGGGCTAAAACAAACTCAAGTACCTATCAAAGTACAGCCACCCTGTCAAAACCAATCAAGAATGAAGGTGTCTAGCTCTCTAGGCAAAGGGAGGATGGAGGGAGAGAGAGAGAGAGAGAGACCCCTCTTGAGGGGTTAAGCGCGCTAGACATAGCGAGAGGGGCAGGCACAGAAAGAAAAGAAGTTCGGAAATGGGGAACAACGCACAGAACGAGTTGGAGAAAGGAGGCAGCAGGCAGCATTGTGATTCTTACTGCTGTTTCGCTTTCTCACCAAGTATATTTTCTGACCATCACGATTACTGTCGCTACTACTGGTAGCTTCCCCTCCTCCCTCATTTTCAACCTTTTGGGGCCTTTGGGGGATACATGTTTCCAGAAGTTCAGCTTTGTCCATCATTTTGTTTTTTCGCGATCCCAAGATTTGGATTTCAGACCGCTTAGCAGTTCCCTCAGTATTCTTCACGATGTTTCCTAGACATATAAGCATACGAATATGCGCAAAAGTATCTCAAAACCAGCTCAAAGCCACCACGGGGCGCTTGCTAGAGGTACTATCGTGCTGTCGCAGTCGGGACAAAGAATGTTGAAAACACTCTTGTCACAGTTCTTGAGAGCCTCGCAGAGAAGAAGATCAGAAGAAGCCCCCAAGCCAAGGCCCGACTTCAGATAAGATGGTGTTGGTGTGGGAATCCGATGCAGGAATCCCTGGGCGGACCGGAGGCTGATGAAAGCCGGGGCAAACGAGATGGCAACGCACAGGTTGGGCCTCGGACATGGCTTTAGGGCACATGGAATTGAGAGTCAGAGAGGTTTTCGACATGTTCAACACTCGTTCAGCCACGTGATGCTGTTCAGGGGAGTTGTAATTGGAGTGTGGTTTTTTCAGCTGGAGTTGTATTGCAGAGGCCGTGGATCAGGATGAGCATTCATGTTTGTGTTCGCATCAGTATCTGTGTATTGAACATAGTATCGCTGCAAGACTTCCCTTCCCAACTCTCATTGTCTTGGCGTTTGTGAAGCTTTGCCGATTCTCCAACAGACTGTTCCACGGTGCAGCACACATTCCAGCTAACGTCGTTGCAGTCGAAAAAAGTTGTGCGAAAAGGCTGGCGCAGGGCCGCATGTGTTGTGGCTCCTGCGCCGCACTCGGCCAGGTGCAGGCCCTGGCCTCTGGCGGTGCCGGTGCCCCTCCCCGCCGGAGCAAACTGGCAGAGAGCTCGGTCAATTTGCATCTCGGCACTCAAAAGAGGAACGCCCGCCTTGACGTTGGGGGGGGGGGGGGCATATGTTCAGGAGTAAGGGTCCGTGTTGCCGAGGGGTGCATGCCTGTGAATTGGAGAGAACTTTTCCAAGTCGAGCTGTGGGCATCTTTAGGGCACTCTGACGAGAGGAACCACGGTTTCGTGTGCTTTGGCTGGCCAGACTGAAAAGGTATCTTGCTCGGACTTCAAGGGTTGAGAGGCTGAAACAGCCCGGCAGCAGACAAGGGTTCCGTGGCATGTAGAGGCTATACGAATTCATACCTTGACTGGTAGGGAACAGTTGTACGTCCTTGGACCCCAGTCCCTCAAGGACCCATAACGTCCACGGTCTCAGGAACCTCCCAGAACTTAGCCAAGAAAGTGGTCATCTGCTCTCCTCGCTTGTGCCACAACTTGGTTGGGCGAAGGTAGCAGAAGCAAAGCAACCTGGCTGCAGGCTTTTGAGATGCTCTCGCCCGTCTTCGCCTAGAAAATGTCTTCGCCTAGAAAATGGACGAGCGATGCCTTAAGAATGCCTTTTTGAGGCCCTCGGGCCTTGCGCTGGGTGGTCGTGGGCCGCTCCCCACTTCCTTGGGCAAAGCAGCTCAGGAGGTAGCTTGTCATTCGGGAGAATGAGGGTGTTTTTTTGAGTTAGGTCGGATTGTAGGTGGTTCTTGTTGAAGCTGTATATGGGCAATTCTTTGTCTTTGGGGCCCGCTTGTGCAACACCAGCACACAAGTAGGGTTTCGCCAGCGGCGATGTTGTGGGAGGTGCTTTTATTTTGAATGGAATCCTACTAGGCAGACTGCTTAGGAGTCGCGTCTCAAAATGCAAGCTTCGACAGAACCAGTGCGCCTTGTCTTCGAGTTTCGACAGGCGAGGCAGAAGAAGACTTCACTGTACGTGCTTGGGCTTTGGCTGCGAAGCCTTGCGATTCTTCAACCCAAAAGCCCTAGACGCCGAGTCTGAATCTTTGAAACCAGAGCTTCACCTACCATGTCGTGCGGGTCGCACCGGAAGCCAACTTCGCCAGCTCGCAGGAGCCAAAGGTTCTGAGCACGGAAACCTGTGCTGGCCGCTGCCCGGAGGCCGACTATGGCATGGGATGGTTCTTGTTGCTCGACACTTTCTTATGTGAACCTGGCAATCATTAGAGGACCTCGTCGTGATCTTAAAAACATTCGTCGATGAGGATGCTTTCCACCCCTTATGGGCCCAGGAAGACGTTTTGAGCCCAGGAAGACAAAAGAAAGAAATCATACTGTACGGGTCCTGGCTGGTCCTAGCTTCTATTCCGAAGCCCCGAGTTACTAAAGGCATAAGATACTCCACGTGCCCCCCCAAAATTTTCGAGAGCCCACGCAGGCACCCATCCCCCTTCGCAGCCCGGCGCCCAGGGAGCTGCCCAGCACATCCCTGGGGCGAGGGAGGACCCCGCTTTCTGCAAATGCTCGGGGTCGGGGACTTGTCGTCTGGGCCAAGAGGTTCTTTTTGTGGAGGTGGCGGTGGCGCATTTGCATGCTAAACTCTGAGCCTAAACTTTATGCCAAAGCAGCAACACATCTCTTGCTGTGCCCTGCTGGAGGAAGTCGCCAGAGACAGCTAGGACGACTGCCATGTCGGAGGCGGCCTTCCTTGCAGCTGCAATGCAATGTAAGTTGGAAAGCCGCTCCAATCCACAACTGCATCTCCAGGTCGCGTCCGGGGACCTTTAATCTTAACTTCACGGCCGGGGCATGCCCAGTGGCGAGGCAACCCCAAACCGGCGGAAGCGCGGGTGCATGCTACGGTCACGAAAACACGAAAACACAAGGAAAGCATGGTGGTTTGGGGTGGGCGGGGGGGGTTGGGTGGTGGAAATTGCTTATCGTTTGCCACGTTGGGAAGAGCGCCAGTGCAGTTGCATTCAGTTCTGCAGTTTGTGCTGTGCTTTCTTGTCGTGTGGTGCCAGTCATGAGCGATTGCATGTCATCTGCATGTCATGTTGTGTTATGATGAACAATGGCATCTCCGTCTCTTGTCAGTCTTGTCAGTATGTGTCAGAGTGTGTGTGAGTGTGTGTCTCTGTCAGTTTTTGTCAACGTGTGTCCGCGTGTGTCGGTGTGTGTCAGAGTGTGCCAGAGTGTCCCAGACTGTGTCAGTCAGTCAGTCCAATCAGTCAGTCAGTCCGTCCAGTCCAGTCAGTCAGTCAGTCAGTGAGTGAGTGAGTGTGTGTGCGCAATAGGTACCAGTAAAGCAAATCGAACAGTATTGCCGCTGGTTGCCGTTTGGCCTGAACAAGTTCATTTGGTAGAGTAATGAGACATTATCAGCCCAAACTGAAAACCTTAGCTATTCAAGGCCGAGATTCCAAATCCTGAAGCTCCAACGCTGGTCATCACATGTTTGTCGACAGCAGGTCGCTTGTCAGACGACCTGGTCTCCCCCTTCGGAGGCTGGCTCAGGGAGGTCATGTGCAGGTTTTGGTAAACACATGGCTTGGTGTGGTGATTCACTACCCTCAATGTGGGGTTGCCAGTGTTTACTTCGTCTTGTACTCGCCCAGGTCTCTTGTACTATTTGCCCGTCTCCAACCTCCAGAACACCCAGAAGAATCCCTGGAGCCCACCCTCTAGAAAATTCCGCGCCCCTGGAGCCAACCACCGGAAAATCCCACAAACTATCCCTGGAGTGCCTGCCGCCAGAGAATGCGTGCCCAAATCTAGAGACTCCCGCTCTGAATCCCAGAAGTGCCCAAACCCACAGAATCTGGCCTGCAGAGTAATTTGGAGGGGCCACCGCCGCAAAGAATTTTTTCAGAGTATCCCTGGAGTGCTCAACCCAACCCTAGAGAATCCCCGAGCGCCCAAGAACAGATCTTCAGCGCCCATCACATTGTCGTCAATATTGTGTGTTTGCGACCCTAAACCCCGCGGCTGGAATACACTGAGTTTCCCAAAACGATTCTTGGGTGTGGGCTGAGATAGCCATGTCCGGAATCCGACCATGCGGCAGAACGAATTTGTGTGTGTGTGTGTGTCAAGTTCCAAAAAAGACCCGCTCAGCTGCACATCAACAACGGGTTTCAGCTCGGGACACTGCGGATCCATCACAAGCAGCTGCACATTAGTGTCCGAGTCTGGCGATGGCAAGCACAGGGCTGAATAGTTGGGTCTGACAGTTTGGATGTTGTAGGGTGCACTTTGCACACTCCCTTCGCCATCCTCGCCCAGAGGACCTGTCGAGGACTCCACTGCGCAGGCGCAGTCCGGAGAGTGAGCCTTGGCAGCGAAACCTGAGCTGGCGGCCTGTACAGGGTAGGGCATGGCCACAGGATACTCCGGATGCTCCAGGATGGTCCGACTTGCAGGACATAGAGTGTCTCAATACGTTACTGCAGAGACGTGTGTGAGGCACTGGCTCCGAAATGTGTGGGTATGACAGTCTACCCTGAGCCCGAGGCTCCGCGCACCGAATTTCACCGCACGGCTGTGTCGACTACTCCCCTCTCAGCTTCGCCCCCGAGGCAGGGTAAAAAGGATCTACGTCAAGAAAGCCTTGTTCTGCTTGTGTCACGCCCCTAAAGCAGAAAATTTGCAGAACCATGTATCGGAACCAATCGCCAAAGACCAAGCTCCAAATCCGAAAGCTTGTAGTTTCTAGGACTTCCAAGAACAAGTCCAGCTTTTCACAGGACAAAAAACGATCGGCAGCTTCCAGCTCTAAATCTTAACATGCCTCATATGCTGGAGGGCCGCATGCCGCCTGTAGGAGATGTCCCTCGAATCCACAATAGCCTGAACCTTCTCATGCTTTCCTCAGAGACTCGGAGACTAGACGAGGCAGTTTCCCCTGCGGCCACCGCTGTGGTCGCCCGCTGCAGCCCAACCGAGCCCGGCTCTGTCCGAGGTGTTTCGGGAATCACAGATGTCGGGTATGTATGGTAGGGTGTGGTTTGGGTCACGGCTTCAAAAGTGCTACAAGGAACTCGAGACTCGGTGAAAGGATCGGAAGGGAAGTCTTGCGCCCGGAAAGACGTCGCCGTAGAGTTAGAAGGATGCGCACAACTGGGCTTTGAACGCCCTGAGTGAATAAGAAACTCGTTAAGCTCCAACCTGCTGCCCAAGTGCCGCCTGCGAAGGTATCGCCCACTCTTCGGCTGAGCACCGTGCCGAGTGCAGCGACGACCGCCGTGCCCGGAGCCCGCACGAGGCCAGCAAAGTCAAGAACTCGTCAAGCAGGTGAGATGCAGTGATGCAGGAGTGTGGTACTCGTAGCGATTGGCAGTGGATATTGCGCATCCCAGCCTTGAAGCGTATGGTCTGTGTGGTGCATTTGGAGGTTGCCAAACTCAAGCTCTAATCCTCGGTGCCTCATGCTTACGTTTGTGCTGATCCTGCCTTTGGGGCCCCAGCAGATGAGATTCGCGATCGTGCCCTTCAAGTTCATAGATCCCTGTGTTGGATTCATGTGTTCTGACAAAGCTGGGGCTTGTGCAGGTGGCCAGTTTTGGGGCGACCTGGGTTGAGAGGAGTAGGTGATTGTAGGTAGAATGTGAGGCCAAAACCAAGCCAAAAGGATCACGAATGCAGGCGTAGCGCAGCTTCTGGCCTTTTGGGAACCAGTGCCGTTGTGCATGGTTTGATATATCAAGCTGAAGTGCCCTTGCGCTGGTTCTTGTGCGTGCTCCTCACAGGGCGAGTTCCTCTCATGTCAGTCTAGGTCTGTTGTTGTGCGAAGCAAATGGCGGACGTGCTTTAGCGGCGCGATAAAACAAACAAATACCGCAGATGCCTGAGTTGTTGAAGGATTCAAAAGATGAAGTGGTCCGATCGCCTGGACGAGAAGATCAAGCGATTGGTTGACTGGCCTCAATTTGTTTCCGGGCTTTGGGGATCAGTGACTTAAGTGACTTACAGTAGGGTTAAGGCAAGGCTTTGCAGGCCTCATAAATGGTTTCTCTCACTCTCTTATTTTTCTTGTTTTTTCTCTCGCTTATTGTGGCCTTGGGAGTGAGGGAAGACCCCACAGCCCCACAGCCCACTTTCTTGTCAACATGGAGCCGCTGCCATCAGACCCTCGGGGCTGCAAACCGCCTCCTTGTCACACCCCTCCGCACCACCATCAGGTCCTCTGGTTATTACCGCGTAACACCCTGGAATCATGAATAAAGACCACCTAGAAGCCAAAATGCTGTCCACAAGATACCACAAGCAGATGGTGTCCCCACCAAGTGTGGAGGGAAAACCATGCATGTTCAACCATATGGCCAGGCGTTAACAACCTTCAGATGCAGTTGATGCACGAAGTTAACTTCTGATTGAGTCGGGAGGGAGGCAGATGGCAAGGAACTCCAGCAAAAAAGTAGCAGGTGTTCCTTTTTTCCTGTGGCCAACGGGATGAGGAAAATGGGATGGTTTCTGTGTCGATGATGATGATGGTGATGATGATGATGATGATGATGATGATGATGATGTTGATGCGGAGTCTTTTCCAAGGACGTCACATGAAGCGAGGACCCTTCATGGGTCGACGCAATGGTAAAAGAAAAAGGAAAGCCGCGGAGGCCGCAGGTTCTTGACGAGGAAAGCCAGCAGCCACGTCGCAGAGGACAGCCAGCAAACAGAATGGAAGATGCAAAAACCACATGCCTGGCATGAAAAAAAGAAGCCTTCATACCTTGCACGCTCCTCGGCTTTCAATCTTCGGAACCCCACCTCTGAATGCCCAGAATATCACATGTTGGTTGCCCTTGTCGTTGAGACTGAGGCCAGGATTATGCACGGCCGACGTGGCAGCAGCCAGGACGAGGATTCATGGAGCAGTGGCAGCTGAGGGTTTCAAAGCATTCCGAGTCTCACTCCGCCGGTGGAAGCCTCCGGCCTTGTACAACGAAAGTGTAGTTTGGTAGGGCGGTTGCTTTTCATGCAACTTTCCGGTCGCATTCTTGCGGGTCGACTTTCTGCAGCAGACTCTAGTTCTCATATGCTGGCAGCCGGAGGGTTGGCATGAAAGGGGCTTCATTTAGCCAGGCCAGCTCTATGCAGGCCGGCAAGTGCAGAAGCTGCACACACTTCCAAGTTAATGACATGAAGCAGTGGCCGGCACAAGGTTCTGTCATCGACACTGTCATCGACACTGTCATCGACTCGAACCTGTCGAACCATGCGCCGCGGAAGATGGTGTTGAACCACTGGGGGTCTGACTGCAAGAGCCAACTTTAATTTGTTCGTGCAGTGCCGGCACGACCCAGGGTGTTTCTCAAGGTGTCAAGTGCTGTTTGAAACTTGTCATGCCCATTAAGTCCTGGGGGTGCCGATTTGGGAGACCTGTGGCTCGGCTGAATTTGCGAAGTCTACTTATTGTTTTTGAGCTATTTCCGATCTTCTGAGAGCCATGAATAGTGCTGCAAATTCAGCGCCGGTGTGCACAGGGAAAACGTGCTTGAGATGTGCACGTCGCGACACAGCGCTTATGCGGACCAAGAAAAAGTCTCCACACCTGTTCCTAAACTTTTGACTTTGTTTGCTTGTTCGTGATTCAGTGTTTAGGAGTTTAGCACAACCAAGACACTCAGTTCAAATCCCAAACTTTTCTTGGCCTTCAGTTGTGCTCCATGGTGTTCCTACAGGCGCTAAAGCTGGGTTGTCGGAGCTGTCGGAGCTGTCGGAGCTGTCGGAGCTGTCGGAGCTGTCGGGGCGAGCGCTGTCCTGAACTGCGGAGTGGTGCCTCTCAGAGCAAGCCGCAGATTCGGCTTGCAGCGTGGTCTGGAGCTGGAATCACTGTTGAGAAGCCGGCTTAGTTTTTCTGCCTGTGTTTTGTAAATCCTCAAAGCTCAAGCCCTTGGAGGTTTCAACGTGCCCCTAGGTACCTAAAAAGTTCATGAACCCTAAGACCCCAAGCCCCGAAGTCTAAGCTCTGGCAGCCGGGGCATCCGGATGGAAGAATCGGCTTCCACAAGCTCTGGTTCATCAGATGGCCGGAGCCTCAGGTCTTTGGGGCTGTCATTTTTGCTTATCTTGAAAGGGCGCCGAACCTGAGCGGCCCGAGCTAAAAGTCATGAAAGCTACGTTTGCCGACCAATCAAATGGTTTCAGGCGGGTCACAAGGCGACTGCGGGCCTTAGGTCGTATGAAGATCATTTGGTCAACGGGTTACGAGGGGGTGGGCGCGAATCCCCCCTTCTCCCGGATCCCTTTCGTATGCAGCCACAGCTGCACCCAAGTTGTCCGGAATATTTCCCTCCCGTAGGATTTTCATGAGATGTGACTTAATCCCGAGATGGGCGACGTAGGGATGTTGACCCCCACCACAGAACGTGCAAACGCACGTGTGCACGCACGTGTGCATGTGCGTGCGCCTGTCACTGCTGCTCTGGGCATTGAGCCCTTTCACAGGTGGTGGCGTCTCTGAGTTCGAAGCCCGTATGTCAGCGTGGGAAGCTGAGAATGTGACAGCGCAGGACGGGCTGTTAAACGATCTATTGCATCGCCACTTGTTTCTACGCTTCCCTGCGCTACTGTGAGAACCCTAAACCCTAAACCCTAAACCCTAAACCCTAAACCCTAAACCCTAAACCCTAAACCCTAAACCCTAAACCCTAAACCCTAAACCCTAAACCCTCGATGGCTGCTACTGCCAAGGCCTTTGTTCCATGTTTTTGAGGGGGGTTGGCTCCAGGGGCATCTCTTTTTCCTTCTGTGTGCGGAAATGCTGTGCCTTTTGGCAAGGCAACTATACAGAAGCCAGGTTGGTTTTGACTTCTTTCGTGGGCCCTTAGCAGCAGCTTTTGTTCCGCATTCCGTTCACTTAACAGTTCGTAGTAATTCAGTTACTTGCCTTGCTACGGCGGCAGCTGCTTCCGCTCCCCGGTCGATTCGCGGTGGAGAAGAGCGCGGCCGCAAGTCCAAGTGTCTAAACGGTTCCGCCCTATCGATTGTGTTGACACGTGCAGGACGACCTCGTGGTTTTCTGTGCTCCTGACCCGGGCGAGGCTTCCGCGCGTTTCTGCGCGGGGTGAGGGGTTCGAGACTAGGCGCAGCAACGCGAAAGGTCAAGTTTGAGCCGTAGCACTCAGCAAGGAACCGAAACGAACCATGTGCTGCTTCGATGTCAATGTCTCTGAAGTTGCAGCTAAATTCCGTATGCGTCCCAAGCTGAAGCCCAGAAACGCTAAAATGCCAGCCGCTCCTTGCAGCCTCGCTGCCGAACAAGCCAGGCAACCGAAGCCACCCTCCGACGACATCGCGCAGCCCGCCGAAATTCAATGCAGGGCAGCCCCAAAAACTTGAGCCTCCCCGCCCAGGAAACATGGCAGCTGGTTGCGGAGCGATGGGCTCGAGAGGAAGAGAAGGGAGCCGTGAGCCCAGAGACCGGGAGCGCCCGGACCGATATACACATCTGCCCTATCTCATGGTGCCAGTGGGTCTCTACAGCCCGGAACCCTGAACCGCAAAATCGTCAACCTTCTCCACATTTTGCATGTCTCTGCTCTTTCAAAGGTTGTGACCCCCAAAGTCCAAAAGAAGGCATTGTCGGCCATGGAGGCCACCATCCTTTCGGCGGCCAGGCGTGGAGCCCGATGCCTTCAGAGTTCAGGTGTCAGAGACTTGGGAGTCACAGATGAGGCCCTTAAACCTTCAGGGCCTTGGACCGCTGGAGGCTATAGGTTTCAGGGCAGATTGGCAGGGCCTGTGATTTAACCTTGGCATAGACTGTCGTTGGCTATCGCTTTGGCCCCGGAAAATGCCTTGCGTAATGCTGAAGCCGCTTGCTGTCGCCCACGAAAGACCCCAAGCTCGATACTTCCAATCTCACAAGAAGACCTCGCTTGCCAGGAACATTGAACCTGAGTTACTGGATGAGTTCCACGAGCTCACACGGACTCCGGCCAAGGCCCTGGGCCTCTGCCAAAGGGCGACTGGATGTGTTTGCGCAGTGCTTCGGGTTGCTGGTGAGGGCATTGGGGCGTTGCAGATTTGAGAGTGAAGGCCTCGGTTTGGGCGGTCCCGACCGTCACTCCTGTGATGCATGATCTGGTTTATTACGTTTGGGGAAATTCGAGATGTCCACATGAATGCGTGACAACGGCCAAACTACTCGTAGCATAGACGGAGTCTTTCAGGAGTCATGTATATGCAGTGTGTTGCGGGCCTGTAGTCAGTGTATGCCTTTCTTTGTTGGGCAGCAATCTTACGTAAAGTCCAAAGCTTCCAAGGGCAGCTTCCAAGCCGGAATCCTAAGCATCCAACCCAAACTCGAAAGCTGTTTTGGGGCCATGCTATGGTAGGTAGCTCGCACTGGGCGTGGGCAAGTGCTCATCGGCAACGAGGATGATGCAGGCAAACCGTGCGCCTGAATAACAAGTTCTTATCCATGCACCCTGGCCCCGTGCCTCCCACCATTGCCTCGTGACAGTGCTTGGACCCTGTAAAGCCTTCCCAAATTGGCAACTTTGAGCCTGAGGCAGCGAGGAGGTCATTGCTTCTTGCGGCATCACTGCGGTATTGAACTGCACAGAGGAGCCGCCGACAACGCGCTGCCAGGCTCTCCTTTTCATTCCCTGCTCCAGTGCTGTTTGAAGAGGATGTCCTACGATAAATAGTTCAGGGGCCATGCTAGCAGGTGCAGCCTGCCATTCAAGCGTGTGGGTCACGGGGCAGACGCGGAGAACTTGCCACTAGGGCTGTCCCGACAAATCCACGCGGGCAGGAGATGTACGCCAAGATCGGCCGCCAAGCTGCATTGTCTCCAACACCACGCCAACTAAACCTTGACCTATTGACGTGCTGAAGCTATTCGGTGAGTGGCAGAAGCAGGCATTGAAAATGACTTGTTTGAAGCCTTCCCGAACTTGTGTGCTTTTTGGATTGCGGATGTCTTAGATGATTGCTGGTTCTTCATTTACGCTGCTATCCCAGGCCTATGAACGTAAAGCCTTTGCAAGCTCTGATCCCCGACCTTCTTCTGATGCTAGCGTCCCTCAGTATGCTGCCGCGTCTGTAGCTGTGCTCAAGGTCCTTCTATGATGCTGACCCCCCCTTATCCCCACTTCTCCGCCCTTATCCCCCCTTCCCCGTTCTCTCCGCATTCTCCCCCTTCGCCCCCCCCTTCTCCCCTCCCCGCCTTCTCCCCCACTTCTCCCCCGGCTGCAAGCCACTCCGAGCAGTGTTTTTCAGGGCGGGCACGTTTGCATCAGCCCAGCCCCACAGCCAACCCAACCAAGTGAAACGCCCTTAGCATAGCGGGGGCGGGAAGGGCACAACGGAAAACACGGTGCAGCATGCAAACAGCACAAGAAAAGTCTAAGCCAGCACAAGCAAAAGTCGCTGTCCAATGATCAGTTCTGGGCTGCCTTTGAGTGGCTTGGGCTGCCCAAGGCGTCCGCTGGCACCATGTGCCGATGCACGACGACATCACAGAGGCAGTGCGGAGAGTTTGGGGCAGCGGTCGCATTCAACCGGTTGCAAAAGGTGCAGAACGGGTCAAGTTCATAATCAGCTCTATTGGCATCAAGAAGCCGATCTGGACCTGGAAAAAGGCTTCGGGAATGCGTCCGGGGTTGGGGAACGAAGTGACATTTTGCGACAACTTCGGTGGCTGGGATGTGGCCGTTGAGCTGACCATTCTTCGGATTTTTCATTCGTGAAACCGGCCATCATCATGTCGCCACTCTTTCCATGCCTTTCTCTTTCAGGATTGCGGTGGTTTCGAGAGTTCAAGGGTTGTTCTTGATCGGAGGGCCTATTTTCACTCCACTTGCTGTTTGTGGTTTAGTTTGGCGCACACCTGCTTGGTTGGCTTCCTAGCTTTTTTCTGCCGTCCTAGCGTGAGACCTGATGGATAAGCCGAAACCCCGGAAAAAAGAGCTGAATGGTCAATCAGGTATACCTGTGAATACATCACTTCGTCTTGCGCCCGCCACAAAGTTTCAGAACCCCAGCTCTCCTGCAGCAAGGACCTTGCGGTTGCTCTGACACGTGCGCGTCCTTGGCTAGCCGAAGCTTTGGCTGCCGAACAGACGGTCCGCACCTTCGTGTGTTTCCATGCCGCACATCTTCATGAAGGATTCTGTCGGTTGTTTTGGGTTCCAAATGCTTGAGGATCCTTTCTGTTGTGAGTCCTCCATCAGCTGCACTTGTGGAGATCAACGGACAACACAAGATGCGCGAGGTCCTCATTCACTGCTTTGTGGGGGGAAACCGGTCCGTGGCTGTTGCCGTCGGCTACATGCTTTTGGACGAGGCGTGGAATTCTCATTGAGCGGCATGCGTAGCTGAAGTGGGGACCAACATAGGCTTCGAGGCGCAACTTGCTGAGACGATGCCAAGAAATGTTGTGCGTTGTAGGACGGAGTGAGCTTGAGGTATGGTAGCCCTAGATCGGCTAACCCAAAGGACTACGAGCTTCTCCGTGCTGTAGAAGCTGTGGCGGGCGCACGAGGCTGGTTGAACTGGGTCACAAGTGGGGTGCTTCCTATCCTAGACCGCTGTCCATATTTGCATAGTCTTAGCAGTCGTTTGCGCGACGACATGTGGTATGTATGGCATGGTCAATGGAACGCTGAGCAAGCCTGGGAGGGATGCTTGGGAGTGGTCTTGCGTGGACCCGGGATAAGGGTGATGATGAAGTCTAGCTTTCGCTGCTAGAAGGTGGAGTTGACGAGTACTCAAAATAGAATTATGCCCGCCTTCTACTGGCAGTACCCTTTTTTTGCATCCCAAGAACCTAGGCGTGGGTTGTTCGGATGGGGTTCAGAGTGTCACACCTTCCCGAAGCCTGCATCTGGGAGAATTTCCAAACCCTAAACTCTGCAGAGCACATCCAGGCCTCGTCTTGGGCTCGGGGTCGTTCCCACTTCAGCTGCTGCGCCTTGCGCCAGAAAATGGCGTGTCGAGGGATTCTGGCCTGAAGATTGGGGACGCCCTCCCCTGACCCTCCCTTCACCTTCATCCGGGCCGAGAATGGAGGGGTTGGGAAGTTGGGAACTATGGATTTGGTATGTTTCGTTATGTTTCGGGATGGATACCACAACTGTTCGCGGACTGCGTATGCTAGTTTCATTGTTTTGTAGCTTGGGAGTTCTTGGAAGTACTTGGATCCTGATCTGACTGTTGCCTCGCTTAGGGTCATTTATAAGACGGTTGAGCCCTGATGCAATTGTTTTGTCGCTTGGGTGTTATCCTTGGAGACAATCCTGATAGAGGAGATCACCTCAGAAGTAGGTTGTTTATAGGCTTAGAAAGGCAAGCAGCCGGTCTGGGGAAATTAGCTCAAGAAGTTAACTTTGTGTTTGCCTCTTGGATGAATTGTCTTCAGCAGGGCAGAAGACGTGCATGGTGGGCGGGTAGTGAGGGCTACTGTACAAGTAAGTGAGACTGGGGTGGGGGGTGTGCAGCTAGCAGCTAGCTGCACCCTCACCCCCCCCCCTCCTGTCATTTTTGCAGGGTCCGCGACTAAAGGTGCTGAGGGAGGGCAGAAAGATCGACAAACCCAAAGCTACACGAGTGGAAGGGGTGACGGTGGGGAGGGAGAGTAGCGGAGGGGGGTGGAGGTAGCAAAAAAAAGCAAGGGTGTCGCATTGTGTTGAGGGGACCGAGTCTTGGCTTTCTCATCGCGGCTCCTCGGCTCGAGGATTCTTGCTGCAAGGTTAGAAGCAAAAACAGCCCGGAGGAGACTTAAGTTTCTAGCAGGGGTTATGCAGCACACGACGGGCACCTGAGACTCATGCAGGGCAGTTCTGTAGCAAGTGTCAGGCCGAGCGCCCAGGTTTATGACTCTCAGTCGTGCAGCGGGCAATACAAAGACTCCCGTCGTGCTTGCAGCATGCAGTTCTCTCCGCATTCGCGAATCCTGACCCCAGCTCTGCCCGGTGCTTGGAGGGCACAAGGTGTGCAAGCTCAACCCCTGCTGCTTTAGCCTGTTCAACCCTGCACCCAAGTTCAGCATGCCTTGATCCGGAGGCCAACCAAAACCAACATTCGGGATTCGGGCTCTTGACCCAAATCGCAACCCCAATCTCACAGGCCCATGGGCTGGTCATCGAGGCTTAACATTTATAAAACCGCCAGACCTCAAATTTGCACCATACACTCTAAGAGCTCCCCGCGGAGTGACCACGACAAACCCTCGCCGCCAAGCCTCTTCACACACAGGAGAAAGCTCCAAGCTTTTTCTATGCTTTTCCAAGGTCTCACGGTTCTGCCTCCCCAGGCCTGGGCTCTCAGAGTTGGGGATGTTGGGCGTCAACGCATGCAACATTGTGCCACATCTTCTCTCACCAAGACTAGAGAGCACAAGGGCATGCGGACAGTTGAGGGTCGGTGCCAGGATGCTGAAAATCCTTGCCTATTCTGAGCTAGCTAAAACCTTTCTGGGGCAATCAAGCCGATTCAAAGGGCATATTGCTATGAGGCACGAAGCTTCAAGCGAACCAGCTGTCCATGTGGCCAGGTAGCCAACTATCTTCTCGGGCTCGTCCCTCCTTCTCCTCGAGGTGTGCTTGTTTGCCAAACTAGCTTCATCGCTGTGATGATCTTTCGCCTCTTCCATGCATGTTGTGCAAGTTGCCAACTGCATAAGGGAGCCGTGAGCCCACAAAACGCTGGAAGTCGTTGGACATACTTCAGTCCTTCATTGTAGGCCTTTGGTAGGCGCGAGTCAAGCACATCACACGGTCAAAAAGGCTGAGGGAAACAAAACGCATGGGCCCACGGCGGGAAAACCCGACAATATGCCTGCACCAGGAGGAGCTCGCCTCGCCAGCGTTCGTGGGGCCCCCAAGAAGGGGGAGATTTTTTGCACGGCCTTGTGGGAGTTGTTACCCAAAGTACTTGCACTCTGGGCGGCCCGGCTTCGAAAGTCTCAAGCTTCCATATAAGCTTGCTTCTGGAAAAAGGTTTGACGGATCCTATCGAACGGGGCTGGCTCTGGAATGCGGTTTGGGGTTGAAAGGAGAAGACATGTCTCAAGCTTTTGAGCTGGGCCTGGCTTCCTACGTCTTAAGCTTAAAGACAGCGTCTGGCAAAGTGCATCGCTTTGGAGGCCAGGGGCTCCGGGGTCTCCTACCTGAACCCCACCGAGAATCCTCCAGAGTATCCTTGCCGGAGCTTTGGGGATAAGTTTTTGAGAACCAACAGCGAACGCAGGAGGCGAGAACTGAGCCCCAGCGAAGATGAGAAGAAGGAAGAAGTCAGAGTAGTTGCAGCTGCCCCAGCTTGGAAGAGGGCTTAGCATCGGGGGTAAGGAAGCTGCTGTGTTTGAGGCTTAATTTGAAGTTCAGCAGTTCAGGGGCCAAGTTCTGACAAGGGAAGACTTGAGAGAGACAAGGTATGCAAAGCCCTTCGGTAATCTCGTGTGACTTCTTAAAACAGGTGATGTTAGATTCCATGGGGGCCCTTGGGGCTCTTGTGCAACACTCGTAGATTGTTTGAACAGAGGACTCCCCCATGCACCACTATCCCAGACGAAGGCTGCGGGAACGCCTTCAACCATGTTCAGCATGCATGTTTTTCTTAGCCCTGTCAAACCTGGCCGATGGCGAGATCCACAAGCCCATAGATGCCGTTGCAGGGTAAAAAGATTTCTGCCTCTACTGTGGTCCTTAAATTCAGAGGATGCCGACCTGAGATAGTAGCATCATGCGGCCTGCGGGTGCACCACCTAAAGCCTTCAATGCCCTAACGCTGCGTCGAGGTGCGACTGCGCCCGCCTATGGAGCAGTGCATCCAGTTGGCTTACTCTGCGGACGAGGTTCGGGGCTTGGGGAGTCCGATTTAGGCGGTGGGCTTCTTAAGCTGGCAAGAGAAACCCGACTTTTCAGTGCTGACTCCAAGGTCTCTAAGTATTACACAAGCCTTGTCTGTCCCCTGTCCGGTGGCAGCCGCATTTTGGAATCAGTGCGATGCACCTGTTTTGCCTCATATGCGGGACAATGTTCAACGAGGGTGCGTAAGCCCCAATTCTGAACTTCAAATCCTCCCCAAAAAAGAAACAAGCAGGAGGACAGCAGCAAGCTTCTGGGCCACTTCTCGGACAGCCAGCTCCTCGTGGGCTCATGGGCTTGGGCTTCGGGGTTTATGATGGAGGAGGTCGCCTTGGAGAAGATTGGGTGAAACAAGAACAGAGGGGGCCAGGAACCCTACATGCGTGCTTCGGGCTGAAGGTTCCTCAAGAAGCTGGGGCTTGCAATCCAGCTTCCATGCCTACGCTGCTTCACCCGCATGTGAAACGGACTCAGTGCCTGGTGGGGTTAGGAATTCCGGGCGTGGCCCCTGTTCTCACAAAGGTGCACCAGCTCTGCCATGCTCGCCGAAGACAGTCGCGGGGCCCAGGGCGGCATGTCGGAGCTTCCCTCTTGTCTGAAGCCTTCAAAGCTTTAAAGGGGGGTGGCTGCACACTTCAGCCTTCCTGGGCAGAGTTGTGGGGCAGACCTGAACCTTTCTACTGTACAGTCCCAAACCAGCCAAGAGGCCTGCCAGGTGGAGGAGCTCCAATTCTCTCGGGTTGCCGCGACCTTGTGACAAGAGTTGTGGCTTTACACACAGGTTGCACTTTGGTTCATGATGATAGTTGAAGCAGATAGGTCGGGAACGAAGAATGACCGCATGCGCCCCTTGTGTTCAAAACTCGCTGGCCTCCTGATGCGAGGTTGGCCCACGGGAGAGCACATCGGACCTTTATTGTGCACTCCGACTGCTGGTGGCCAAGTCTCTTCAAGTTGCTGGAAGACCCATTGAAGACCACGCCACACCCTCTTTAGGGGTTTCATAGCGGGTGCTTTCTGACGTCGTCGCTGCCGAGTGTCAAGCTTCTTTTAGGTACCCTGACAACCAGTGATGAAAACTTGAATAACTCGAGCATGGTTCTTTCCGCTGTGCATGTCGGTACGATGAGCTGCAAGGGCGGAAGCCAATCTTTCAACCCCAAATCTTGAAGCCGAGGCGTAGGCCGTAGGCCCTCAGGTGTGGATTTTCAGTGGCACTGGGGCACACCAATAAACCACATTGAAAAGTCTGGCCTGTCCGAGTACGAGTTGAACCCTGCAAAGTTCCAGTTTCTGCTGCGACCGGCTCACAGCGCATAGCTCCGGGCGTCCTTGCCTTTGCTATCAGGCGACAACAGCATTTGCTTTTTCTTTTTGGTTCAGCTTTTGGCATTCAAGGATTTTTAGCATTGAGGGTTTATTTCTGCTTTTTGGGTCAGCGTGGAAAAATCGGTTCTGCGCCCCCCCCACGCAGATGCAGACAGAGAGACGGAGATGGAGACAGAGTCAGACACGGACACAGACACAGACGCAGACACAGACACAGACAGACAGACAGAGACAGACACAGGCACAGACACAGGCACAGACACAGACACAGACACAGACACAAAGACAGAAAGACAGAAAGACAGATGCAGAGAACCTGAGCACCCTGACAGCCTGGCAGCAGTGCCCAATTGACAGGTGCTGTTGTGCCAAGCTTCAGGACCCTCTGCTACCATGCCATGGGCCCAGACTGGGGGCTGTCGGTTGTCAGAGCTTCTCCTGCAGTTCTCCATCTTTTTGGAATCATGCCTATGGGATGAATTCATGTTATGGAGATCCTGGATGTCAGCTTGAGCTTCCACGTGTCGACCATCGAAGTTGGTGTGTGAGATCTCAGGGGGAGAGGCAGTTGCGTCAGGACAGGGCGCGATGCTGCTGCCATCAAGGTGGTTGTGCAGAACAAACCATTCAAGCAACACTGGGCAGTTCGCAAAAACGTGTTGGACACGCAGCGCTTACGAATTCACACGAATTCAAAAACACCCCAAATCCTGAACCCAGGTGATGGGGTGGCACTCAAACACCCGGGCCCAAGAAAACCACCAGGTTCGGAATGGACTGCAGTTCCACTTGCGCCCGCCAAGAAGCAGCCACCAGCACTGTCAAGGTGGACCTGGAGGCCTTTGCTTTTGGGCTTTTGGATGCTTTTGGGCTTCGGGCCTTCGGGAGGATTGGAGTTACTGCTCTGGGGTTGTGTTCTTAGGCTTACGGAGATGGTTCTTGCCTGAGCTTGATATAGATACCTACAGAATGTCTGGTATTCTGCACGATGCCAGGCTATGGCCCGACGAAAGGCTGAAGAAGAAGCAGAAGCACGGCAGGCAGCGGAGGAGGAGGGGCCCCATCCAAAACTTGCCCAATGCCCGGCAATAGAAGCACGGTCAAAACCTCAAGAGCCCTCGGAGGCCGAGCGGAAGCGTGCGGAGGAGGCCCACGCCGCCGAGGAGGCTGCGGAGGCCATTTCTTGAAGGGAGGGCTTATAGGCTCGAGTTGTTGGCGACTGGGCGTTTTTGATTGCGTGAGGCTGCCCGCCAGGCCCAGATGGAGCTGAAGCTGCGTGAGCAGCATCCCGGCCTTTACTGGTGCCTGCAGCGTTCTAGGGCCAAGGAGAGGCATAGGCTTTGAGGCACCTTGAAGCCTTGGAAACGCCTTAGAAGCCTTAGACCTGTGGAGAGCCAAGGCGCGAGGCAGAGGATGCGCGACTCGAAGCTGAGCGCCGCGCAGCGGAGGACAGGCTTCTTGAGAGCTCGCAACATCCTTCAACATTCCTGAAGGAATAGGCGCCTGCTTGTTTTGAGCGGGTTGAATGTTAAGGGGGGCTTTGGAGTTTTTTTTTTTTTTTTTGGGGGGGGGGGGCTGTGTCTTGATGTTGACTGGAAACACGATCACAACACGCACTGTGTGATCTGTGCGCTCTGCATCTGTGTTGTGAGGCCTGTCCTCATACTATTCTGGTTGCAGCGTTGAGGGGTTGAGCAGGTCCATGTCCGAGTAAGTAAGAGAATCTGTACGTAGACTAGGGAAGGGCCGCTAGTTTGCGACAACACATGAGCTCAAACGAATCGACCCCGCGAAACACAAACGGTGCGCCCCAGGAGAGGGAGCAAGCTCGTGCGGACACCCAGTTTTGCAGGCTACAAATGGGAAGAGTGCTAGACGAGCTTTGGGTTTGGATCGGTTGGGGGGGTTGGCTCAAAGTAGATCGCGAGTCCATAGGAGCAGAGAAGACGGGGCTTGCAGGTTGGGGCAGGTTACGTGATGTTGCGAGTAGCAGGTCTGTTTCTTGTCTGAGGCCGGAGGGCGCAGGAACAGGCCGAAAGAGAGCAGCAGGACCGGAAGTTAGGGGGGGCGAGGCCCTGAGTTGTGATCAACAATGTGCGGTTCCTTGCGATCCCGAAAGCATCCAGGAGCGGCAAAGGGAGGTGGCGAGCTTCCTGAAGCAGCATGGGTTCAGCTCCATCAACGGCCGGGCAGCCAAGTGTTGCTAAGGCCAGCATCTTCCACCCAGAAACCGCAGTTTGCGGCATGAAACACAACATGGTTGAAATAGTGTTCTTGCAAGGTCTGCATGCATCAATATCCATATATATATATATAGACATATTTATTTATTTGGGCTTACACTTCATGATGCACAATGATATTGGTGCAGATAAGCTCGCAAGAGCCCGCAGTCTAGTAGTGAATACTGCGCTTCTCTGAGGTGAGGCGTAGAATCTTCAGAAATGAATGGTGGTCGGAGGAATGCATTTGCACCGTAAGGGGCTTGTCTCACACGGGGCAATGTCGACGTTGGCGCGACATCAAATTGCAACACGATGGGCTTTCAAGAGCCAAGAGAGTCATCAGAGTTAAGTCGACACCTGTCGACGTGCCCCTCAGCAGCAGCGTTGCCAGGAGCAAACCCGAACTTTGCTGGGCGTTCATCCCATGTCTTCCAACTGGCAGCTGCGTGGGTAAGCTTAGCCTGATGGCCGGCCCCTAAGGTGTCAAGAAGTCCTTCCTGAGCAGCACCTATCCACTGCACAAGGCTGGCAATCCTGGTGGCCAAGAAAAGACTGCTCATTGTAGTTGGAGTCGGAGTCGCCCGAAGTCGGCGCCACAAGGTATGTCCACTAATGAGCTGATCAGGTGCTGTGAGGTTCGTTTTTGAGCAAGGCTTCATACCTTTGTGTCTTACCTTTTTGTGAGGTCTGCAGTCCAAGATTCTTGGTACTGGTGCTGCAATGACGAAGCTGTGAAGCCCAAAACTCAAGCAGTGGTTGGAGCGCAGGCAGCCGAGCTCGGTGATGCGCACATGGCGAGGAACTCGGGGAACCACAGTCCACATGCCTTCAGATCACGTGCTTTCAGAGCGCATCTGCTTCTAGGAGTGTGGGGTCCAGGGCTTCAGCTTAAGGAGGACTTCGGTTCAAGGAAATGGGTTCGTGGAGGAAGCGCTGAGTTGAGTGTGTGAGGGTCTGCCCATTCTTGATCCTCCGCGGTCATCAGGTGAATCAGCTTGTCAAGGCAGGCGCCGACGTGACGAAGAAGAACTCTGCAGGTCACTGCAAGTGGAAGTGCGATGGACTGCCCCGAGCCGCAAGTCGAGCAAACTCTAGCACCCAAAGCTCCGAAACCCGAAAGCTTTCGGCTTAAATTGGCTTTGGTTTTTTCAGGGAACTTGCCTGAACAGGGTGCGGTGGTGGGTCAAAGAGGTTGCAGACTGATGCCGCCCCATTCCGAAGGCCGGAGCTCCGACTCCTCACCCACAGCATGGCAACTTCAGCTCGAAATCTTTCCTTATCCGAAGCACTTCACTCTTAACCGAAGACATCGCAACCTCAAACTCTCAACAACAATGGGCATTGGGTGGTCGAACGGTTCAAGCGTTCGGGGTAATATGGCTGCTAGGCCCTCAGGTGCAAGGCCAAGAATGTCTTTCATCGGTGCAGATGATGGACGACCCCAAGCGGTGCTATCCTCGAGCATCGAACCCTAAGGTGCCCCTAGAAGTCTCACATTCTGACACTCTCGTAACCTGGAAGCGGCAGCCTGGCACCGGCAGGCAAGACCGCTGCGCAGATGGCCGCGAAGAAGGACGCGCAAAGTAAACTCAAGCTAAAGCTTGCTGTAGGTGGGATTCTCGTTGCAGGGTTAGTTTGCAAAGACGGTTTTAGGGAGCTTTAGTCCGAGGATGTCCACAGTCCGAAGCGCGAGATTCCGACGGTTTTTAAAACCATCTGTGCAGAATGCAGGAGCGTGCACCGAAAGCTGGCTAAGCGAAATGGTCCCACTGCTAGCCTAGCGCCTTGATCTCGGGATACATGCGGCTTCCCTGCCTAGGATAGAAAGGGCTCCCACAGTGCCACGTTGTCCGTGCTGACCCAGATTCCTGTGTCTTGGCATGGGGGGAGGTAGGGGTTGTTTGCTAAAAAGGAGAGACCTCCTATAAAAATGGACGTTCGTAGGTAATTCTGATGACTATATAATGTGGTTTTGGTTATATATATATATATATTTGGTTGCTACTCCGGAGGCCGCAATTACGATGATCTGGGGGTGGACGCGGGCACTTCAGGAATCCTCCGTGGGGCTCTGTGTGGGCAGGCACGTCAAGTAATGTTGACTTTGCATGATAAATTAGTAAAGCCCTTGCCCGGTTGGGGCCGTAATTTTTAGTTATAGCGGGGTTGGGTTTTAAAGGGGCTGTAGTCTTGTTTGTGGGCTTCTTTTTAGTTCTTTGTTTTAAAGGGCTAGCATGTTTCGGAATCTCCTTGCTGAAGTGTACTTAGGTTGGACAGGGTCTCCTCTTTTGTTTGTTCGTCGGGATTTGGTTTTTTAATATTTAAAATGAGGGAGTCCCGTTTGGATTGTTTTGTTTTGCTCATTTATAAATACAAAGTCTGGTGGGATTCTTTGCAGGATTCTCTGGGGTGCGCTCCAGGGTACCCGGCTGGATTCTTCGCAGCAGGGTTCTCCAGAGACAATCGGGAGTACTCGTGCGGGATGCAGTACTCGCTGCGGGAGACAAGCGTTTGCCCCTGAGACTGCGCACGAGGCACAGGTGGTCGGTGGCGCCTGAGCTCGGCTTGGCTTCGCACCGTGAGGACATCCGGGGCGATGTTGGGGGGTGGGACCCGGTTGAGGACTCAGTTGAGGACTGTTGGGGTTGAAGGTTGAAAGGTGGTTTGATTAGACGGGCTACTGCAGAGCCGAAGGCTTGGGCTTCACCGCGGAGCACTGCATAACACATGAAAGGGCTTCTCCGAAAACGGCATCTTGTGCAAACCTGATAGAGCCACCTGCCGAAAGGACTCGGGAGCGGGCCGATGTTCCTTCGCCTCGGATCACGGCTTAATTCAAGAGACCCTGGTAGCTGGCAGAATTATTTGCATATATGTCTCGTCCGAACCTATCAGCCCTGATTTGAACCAGCACTAGCCTGTAAACCTGTCCGGCTCAGTGTTCGCTTCTTTGTCATGGTTTCTAACTCGGGGCGTGACCTTTATAGTTTCGTTAGCCCGCTCGCTCGATTAGGTGAAGTGTTGGGTAGACAGGCTAAAACCCCAGCCCCAAAACCGACATCAAAGTGTGGGAGAGCGGCGTATCTAGGAGTGCCTTCGGGCCTTCTGGACATGTGTTGGCGGCAAGAGCCACAATGCTGGCCGTGCCCATGAAATTCACTGGACGCCAGTGCGTGTAGTAGCTTCGCAGAAGATCGAGACTTGCGGAACCACTCAGACGAGCATTTGTAACATTGCTCGTGTTTTGCCGCGCCTTCCCTTTGGGGTCCTCAGTTTTAGATTTCTTTTTGTCTTAGGAGAGCTTGCCTGTCTCAGGCGGCGTGCTCGGACTCTAGCGTTTGCAGTAACATCCAGCCCCTGCGTTTGCAGCTACAGCATCCGGGTAAACACATTACACAGACTGCGTGGTTGGACTTTTTTCCGGGCGCGACCAGCCTAGCCCACCTGAATTGTGCGATGGCGCCGCCGGTCAGAAGCTCGGTCTGCTGTTTTGAGCCTCTCAGGAACTTTGAGGTCGGTTTTCAGGTCATGGGATAGATAGGCTTAGAAGACTGGAGTCAATGCTTGAGGCTTGCAGGGGCAGAGCACTTTTAGAGGCTTGGAGGCCGAGAGGCTTGGTGGCTGAGCAGCGTGGCAAAAAATCACAAGCCGCCAGCAGACGGAATCCAGGATCATTGGGGCTCTTAGATTCTTAAAGCATGGGTGCGAATGCGAAGGCATGTGCGAGCATTTTTCTAGGAATATTTCTGTATGCCAACCAGCTTATTCATAAGTTGTTTCAAAATGGATTCATCAAACATCTTTCAAAAAAGAAAACACTTGGTACTGGATTCAAATGCGTCGGCCGGTGCCGACAGGGTCTTGGCAACAGCGGCCAGCAGCAACCAGATGTGGACAATTGCATCCGAGATTAAGTTCTCTGGTACAAGTCGTCCTGCGGACCAATTCTGATTCTGCGATGTGCACCTGAAGTTCTCTCAGGTCTGTCCCTGGAGTGGCCTGCCTCGTGCACAGAGCGCCGCCAGTGGAACAGAAGTTCGTGGACTTGCGAAGGGACAGCCTTCCGGACAAAAAAGCATCCCGCGAAAAATTCCAGGCCTTGCTGCACAGGGCCAAGGTTTCTGATGCGAGTTCAGGGAGAGGGGCTGAGGCCAAGGGGCTTACCATCTTCGATGCTGCACGCACCCCCCAAGCCGAGATGGTTCTTGTTTTCCAAGACGCGACCGTCCTCCTGAGGCCAGAGGTCATCGCTGGCATCGCACGTGGCTTTCAAGAGACGGCCCGGCAACTTCAGGAAAGGGAGTTGCGGGGCTTGTGGGTCTCAAGACATGCTCGGGTTCTTCTTGTAGAGGATCCGCCGGCCAATAAAGCGACCCCTTTACCCGGAACCTGTCTTTGGTGGGGATTGGAAGTTCGATCAACTACGACCCAAACTGAGATCACAGGGTATTTAATGTAGAAGGCTTTGACAAGGGGATCGGATCAGGGATTTTGGGGCAGAAGGAGGCCGAGAGATCTAGGTCTTAGGGCATCTTTTTCAAGATCCGCGAGCCTAGCAAGGGGTGCGAGTACCCACACGGAAACAAGAAAAACAGCGAACACCGACTTTCGTGTGATCCTGGTTGGTCCCCGCATCCCAACAACCTAGAAACCTGGCGTCCGAGACCTGTAATTTTTATACCTGACTTCCTGCATGCTGTCCACGCCCCGGACAGCTCTGCATGACCTGCTCCAGGTCTTCGCCTACGGCCAAACCGGCAGTGGGAAGACACACACGATTCTGGGGTCGGCCCAGGAGTTGGGCGTGCCGGGACACCAAGCATCGCAGCGGCCTAATGCCAACTGGACTACATGTTGGACACCTGCCCAAGATTGCTGCTGCACAGTGTTCTTGAGCACCCATTTGCAGCAGTGTTCACTCGGACTCTGTAAATCTTTTCCGCCAGCAGTAGCAAAGCTTAGCTTCGGCTGGGCTCTGTTGCAGCGAGTGGGCACTGCGTGGTAGTTTTTTCTTCTAAGTTGATGATGCACGACGTGCTCGAGTGCACATTTGCAGCAATTTTAGTAGAGGCACGCTTGAGACCTCCTTGGCCAAAGGGAAGCTTCGCATTTGCAACATTCTTAGCGCTCAAGCCGTGGCCATCAAGGCTTTGGCTTGGCTTTGCCATGCGTGTGCTCTTTCTATTAGCGCTTAGAATGGTAATCAAATACTGTTAACACCGTGTACCCGCCAAACCAGATTGCTTATCAAGGGCACATTTTTGGTTAGGTTTCTATGAAGGGCCCTTTTAACAAAAGGGCCCTTTTAACAAATTGGCCCCTAGATTTCTTACCAGCGTTCAACGGTACTCTATGTGTAGGGCCGGCAAGACATATGGGCAGTTAAGCGAACTAGAAGGCCCCGTGCAATATGACAAGTGTGAGAGAGAAGTGAAGAAAGGAGCGTAAGGAGTGAAGCGCACTGCTCATTCACTTGAGTGCATAAGGCTTTGTAGGTGAAGGCCAAATAAGATCAAGGCTGCAATCAGAACACGCCGAATTCTAAAACCTCGGTCCATGCCAACAACAAAAAGCTTAAAGCCCAAGTCCTTTGCGAAATTTCCAGGCTCCAGCTCAGTGCCCAAGAACTATTTCAGGCCACCACTGCCTTTGCATTTGTTTGGGCTTCTTTGGGCTTTCGGCGGTTCACGGCTTAGATGTTGAGCCTGGTTGGATGCTGAACACCGCGTGCTCCCGGGTGGCATTGGCTTTGGCACCAAGAGTTGGAGACCAGGCTGCCCAAGAATCTCAAGCTCTGACCCAGCCAAATGCTCGAGCCTTTCTCCTCCCCAGCCTTCCCCTGGCTTGCAGCAGGTGGTCTTCGGGCCCAATGCGCTGCAGCGGGATGAAGCACGCGAAGCTGCAAGAAGTTCTTTTTGAATTCGTGTTGCTTTTGCATTTTAAGGTGGGGTGTGTAGAGTCTTTATAATTTTCGTGGTATGTGGGCGGCTGCTCGATTGCAATATGACATGGTTTTTCTGTGGAGCTTTCTATTTGAGGCTCCTGCAGCCCTAAAACCCCGTCGGACTTTCCTTCATTCCTCCAAGACGGATGAAAGCAATGCAGTTGCAAATGCGACGCCAGGAAAGGGGTGGTACGTGTTTGTCTCTTAAAAAAGACGTTTCCCACTGACTGGAAATGAAGCCATGTGCCCTCCCTGCACGAGGCAGCGGAGAAGCACAGACGAATCCAGCTGGCGTCCTGCTCAGCTACCCTGGCAGACGGAGTTGAGTGGAAGATGAGGCGTTGCTTGGGTCGTACCTTCTCGAAATGGGTCGCCTGCGAGACTCGCATCTTGAAAAAACAGAGGAGTCATGTTCAAGTGATGCATTGTAAGCAGTTTAGAGGCATCATGGCTGCACTTCAAAAAGAACGGGCATGAGTCCTTGTGCTTGACAGACGCAGTTTTTCTTTTACCATGTAGCTGGTATAGGAATGCTCAAGCCAATGCGTACTCGCTCATGAGTAGTGCTCTACACAGCCAGGGTTCCGAGGAGAAGTGCTTGCAAGTCGCCACATCTAAGATGCCCAACAGGGGTGCCTAGCTCCATTCCGAGCCTCCAGCAGTCGAAGAACACAGTGGGCACCCCCATGCGCCCCTTCTGGGATGAGGGGACTTGTTCGCCTCAGGTCTGCTTGGAGATCAAGAACGACGACGTCCTTGATCTGCTGTCCGCTGCTTCGGCCCTAAACCCAAGTCGTTGCCCACAGCGAACCCGCCCGAATGCTGCGTAGTGCCGTCGGGCAGCCGCTGCGAAGATGTTCGAGGGGTTTTCTCTACCTTAGTGAAGCATTCCCAAAGTCTTTGCGGTGCTTTGATTTTTTAGCCTGCAGGCCAGCCAGTCTGCAGAACAACTCAAGACATGGCTCTGAGCCGACGACAACCTTGACCATCAAATCTGCAGTAGCACAACGCCCGTGGTTCAACATGACATGCACCGAGGATCCACAAGTACTACCTGCCAGCCAGGTGGGGGGAAGCTAAAGCATACCAGCCCGGTGGAATCTTCGAAGGTCCCCAAATGCCCTCAAGCATGCTACGCATTGCTATGGTTTTTATGGTTTCGTTCCTGGGTTTAAAGTTTAGGTTGTCGAGTTCTTGGCTGATTTCATCCATGGCCCACTCCTTCAGTTCTCCCGGTCACAGCCCTGAAGTCTTTTTTAGGAGGGTAGGAATTGTTCCCCGTTTGCATCATGGCCAGGCATGGGTTCTTAGCTCCGGCATGGCAGCTGTTTTGTCGTACGCAGTACTGGTACCAAGCGCGCAGTGTCAGACATTTCCAATGTGCCAGGAGATAGACGTCATCTGCCACAAAGGTGCCTCAGAGCTGGAGTACACGTTTCCTGTGTGTGTGTGTGCATGCGCGCATGGCTCGCCAAACATAGTTCTTTACAGCCGTTTTGGATCTGTCTGGTGCAAAGATGATGGTGAGAGAATGACCCGAGGGCAGTGGAGCAAGATCACACACCCACACACACACGGCGCAGAAAGCCACGTATATAAGCTGCAAGCCATGCAGCATCCGTCTCCTCGCTCAGGCAAGCGCCATGCTTTCAGACGTCTGACCGCATCGCCCCTGGAGCTCGAGCGTTTTCCACACTTGCAAACATGAGCAGAATAGGGAGACGTCAGGAATACGGGCGGGAATGGTTTGACAAGTGTCTTACAAAGAGCCAGTCTAGGATTCCCTATCCGCTTTCCTCAGTGTTTTTCCAGGTGACATGCCCTTAGCAGCCAGCAGCACAAGGCCCACCTGTGTCCCCCTTGGGAATATTGTGCCCGAGGTGTGGAGCTATGAGGAGGCTTGGCCAGAGTCCTAGGGAGGCTTCTTCGGTTTAGAGTTTAGAGTTTAGAATGGCGCTTAAGATTGCAATTCCAGTTAGGTTCAGCTGTTGTCCAGGTGCTTGAAGCACCCTAGCCTGCTCGCAGACCATGGCCCTCCTGCAAAAAGCCATCGCCAGCAGAGAGGTCGGCAGCCTGTGGCCCAGAATGGCGGCACTCCCTAGGGTTGAGGCGCTTTGAAATCTCTAGTTTATCTTGGCAGTTCAGACTTGTGCGAGAAGCTGGCAGCATGCATCGCCTACCAATTCAACCATTAGGTTGTATGATCCTGGGGGGCTTTTGACGGATGTCTTTTCATGCTGTCCGGCACATTGTGTGGTTTCCTGCCCAACGCACAACAATTGTGTGCTTGCATGGTGCCCTAGGCCTGAAAGATGTTGTGAAATTTCGCCTGGGCTACAATTGGCTGAAAGTTTGTCGACGAGATAGTGCAGCCGTTCAAAGTGAGTGTCTTGCAGCTACCACATCGTTACGCGCTAAAGTTGTGCATTTGTGCCTCAAAACAGGCTCTGGAGGTGTTGAGGCAAAGGCTTAGGATGCAAAGGTTTTATGTTGTTGGGCTTCTCATGTTCGGCTAAGAATTGGGTTATTTTTCGAAGTCATGCTTCCACAACATCCCACGCGACCGCAGAAATCCCCAAGATGGGTCCTAGCGTGACCCCTACACCTGAGCATTGAACTTCCGAGGCTCGCACGTGAATTCCGAAAGCTCGCAGCGAGCTCAAAGCCTCCTTGCAGTATCGATGAGAAGGCTTTACCTCGCCCTTAAAAGGCCCCTCAATCCCAAGCCGCCACCAAAGGCGATCGCACATGGTAGTGCGATTCCTGGCCGCAGCCTCATCTGACCGCGTTTAGCAGGCGCGTGGATGCCGAGAAATCCCGCTCACCGACCAAAAAGCGATGTGGTCAGAATTGAAAGCATGGATGTGCACGCCTGGTTATGGTGGGAAGCCCAACCCCAAACCCTCAACCAAGAACGCTTGGTTGAGTGTGGAAGCCTAGACCCCAAAGACTACCAACGAGCAAGAGTGGGCACAAACTGAAAGTGGCAATCTACGGCCAATGCTTCACACGCACAATGGAACCGCCCACTATGGTGTTATTCATTTTATCCGTTTAGCCCTCCCTGAAATTATTTCGGTTTAGCCCTCAGCTTCAAAGCGACGTGCATTTTAAACTGGCTTAGGTGAAGACCCTGAGCGCGCCGAACGGGCGGCTGGCAGACGGGGTCGTGGGAGGTGCCCTGTGTGTCTCTGACTTCAGGGTTTGGCAGAGAGGATCAGCACAGCCCCAGGCTTGACGTTAGTGGATCTTGCTGGCAACGAGCGCGATAGTAGCAGCCCCTTGGCTTGAAGGGAGGGTGTGGGCCGAGTGCCGGCATGGTACCATGCAGATGTCTGATATTGTGGCGAGGGCGCCCGATCACTCTCAATTGGTGTCGATGCTGTTACTTGTATGAGTGCACGTGCGAGCTGCCAGTAGTGTTGTGCTGGGTGTTGACCAGAATAGTGACTACAATTGACCATACTGCTTTGGGGAGTTTAGCCTGGTAAGGTTAATTTGGGGAGGCTTCGGGTTGTTTAGGGGCCCCATGATATCTATGACTCCCGCAGCTTTTGCCGACATCTGCCGGCAAGAGCCGAGGCGCCAACGGCACTGCCATCAACGCAAAGGCCTCAGGCTGCCTTGCCTGGTGGCAACAAATCACTTCCCGAGCACTTTCTTTCTTCGTACTCACATGGGTGCATGCCTGCATTGGCTTTTTTCTTTGTGGTGACTGCTGCCGTCGCTGCCATTGGACTCTGGTCGCAGTTGCCCCGTTCAGGATTTAAGTAACTCACTCGGGAACGTCGAGGATGGCTCAGGTGTCTTTGACCCACTTGAACCGCATGCTCGTCAAGATGCAGGAGCGCCAGTTGGATGAGCCCGGCTCCAAGTCGACCTGGCGGGTCAGATCCGAATAGCCGTTGAGCTTCGCATTTTCTCCTCATACTCTTGTTGCTGCACATCTTGCAGGCGTAGCTTGGGGTCTTGGTTTAAAGCTGTGAACCAATCTGGTTGCTGAAGTGCAGGGGTGCCCAAGTTTGGTCAAGACCTCCTGGAGAAGACCTCCATTCGGTGCCGCCTAATTGTTAGTGAGGAGGCAGCGCCTCAAGGCAGGTTCGGGCCCACTGCGCAGTTCTAGTTACATGGCTTTCGTTTCGAAGCATGAAGCCATACAACGTTAACGCCCTAACCAAACGAGAAATGACGCAGCATCACAAGATTTGTTCAGACTGAAGGCATGCTGTAGAGTCTGAAGCAGATCATGAGACCTGAAGTCCTGAACAGGGAGGTGCCGAAAGAGGTAGACTTCCATTGGTGCATTGGAGCGTGGAATCCTTTCGGCTCTAGCACCGATTGATCAAGGTGGTGTCACGGCAAGCGCTCAGAGGGGTTCTGTTTTCTGCCGGTGTCTATGCCCCATGCTGCAGTACACCCTAGATCAAGCCGAAGTAGTTCTCCAACGGAACGTTGCATAGACATGGAGCACACCAAGCTTACAAATGCCGGAAGCTCAGAGACTGGTTGCGCTCTTTGTCCTACCCACAACTTCCAGGTTCTTGGGTCAGGGATGAAACTCCCCTACCCCGCGATAAGATGAAACAAGTTTGCAAACCCAAGTTTGCTAACCCTTGTGATAACTTGGAGTACAATGCAGTGCTGCGATGCAGCAGCTTGAAAGAGCAGATGGCCATGACGAGCCTGAACCTACAGCTTTCGGCCCTCTTGTAAACACTCCCCAGAGCTCCGAACCCACATCAAGTCCACAAGTCCTTCCTGCAAGCTAATTACCTAAAACCCACATAGGAGTTTGCGGCGTGCTGAATGTGTTGGCTTACATGCCTCTAGATGATTCTGTACAAACGGCATGCGATCATGGCAGCTCAGATCAGCCAGATATAGCACACGTCCCTGCAGTGTGGTTTGAGCAGTTGTGCAGGAGCGACAGAACCCTTCCCTCAAGCTACTGCAGCCCATAAATTGCCCAGGCCGGCCTACCGAGCGAGCGACGGCACCGATTCGTCTTCCTGGCGATTTTTGGAGCAACACGAGGGTGGACCTCGAAATGCCCTGAACACTGTCACAAAATGACGGGAGAGAAGGGGCGCTGAAGGCCAACGTGCAGGTAGCAACAGGGAATCTACGGCGAACGAGTGCCGTGTCACGTCTTTAGTTGTCTTGGTTGGGGTTAGTACTAGCGAGTTAAGGGCCAATGAGTCCCTCCAGGTGGCCAGGCATAGAGCATTCTGTTGCGGGTTGGATTGCGTTGGCTGGACTGTGTTTGAAGATGGGCCCATCCCCATGCCCTGGAATGCTCGCCCGTGTTTCCGAGTTGAGCCGGCAATAAACCACAACCATAACCATAAAACATTCAACCTCAAGCTCCTGGACTCCTAGACTCTCTTAGGGACATGAGCAGCGCAAGCCTCTTGCCTCAACCCCCGGAACCAAGCAGCGCAAGCCTCTTGCCTCAAAGCCCCGGAACCACTTTCATAGTCACCCTTGCACCCAGCCACCATGCCATGGCGCCGGCTTGACCCCTTGGGGGCTGAGGCCCCTTCGGAGGTCGCTGTGTCCGTGCCTTGGCTCGAGGCAATTTTGTTTGTAGCGTAGCACAGGAAGACGTCGCGGGCCCTTGGGAGCTGGAGTCCCTCCCCCGGTGCTCGATATGAGCATCACGAGCAGCACGAGCATCAGCGAGATTGGTGGGGGGGGGCCAGAAAGCGGCCCGAGCTGGGGCGTGGCCAGCTTCGGGCGACATCTTCGTCTCAAATCCCCTTTGCAGAAGCAGAGATGTCGGCTTTGCAACCAAAGAGCCATAGCCGCCAGGCTCGCTGTAGCACGGTGATTGGGGTGACAGTGGGCGGAATCCGGTCTGGACCTTTGCTGAATCTTTGTAGATCTTTGCGGCGTCGCATTTATGTTTCTTGGGACAGGGCCTGCGTTGAGCAGCACGTGGCAATGTGCGCACTGGGCCCCGAGAGAGCTCAAACTGCAGTGAATGTTGCCAGCTTGAAATCGTCACACTGCAGATAACATCCCAAAACTATCCTCGCAATTTAATCTAGCAGCGGTGTTTACAGATCACGGTGGGCAACACGCAAGGCTCTGAATTGCGTGAAATAGTCATAGTCCATTCGGGTTTGGCGGATGGTTGGCTAGAGCAGCTCTACAGCATCATGTAAGGTGCTGTCCATTGCCGGAGAGCAGGTTTGCTCAGCCACGGGCCCAGATATCATGGCATGGCCAGGTGAAGCAATGGTTAGCCCACGGGCACATTCTTGGGACACCTTTGCCAGAATTTTGGCCCAAGCTCTTTGTCACAGTTTGGCTTTAAACTTGGTGCTTGACACTTGGTGCGGGCTGGTGCCTCGCATCGGCTCTTTGTTATAATTTGGCTTGAAACTTGGTGTGGGCTGGTGCGCGCTGGAACTCTTTGTTACAATTTGGCTTGAAACTTGGCCCCCCCCCCCCCCCCCCTCGCCTTCTCCCTCCCTCTCCCCCCCCCCCGCCCTTTTTCATTTTTCCATGCAAAAAGCTTGCTTCACATGTTGGGCCTTTACAAAGTATAACTTGGCTTTGGCTTGCTTTAACTAGCGGGCTGAGTTGTGGTTGGGGGGGGGGGCAGCCGAGCGGGTTTTTGGATCTTGCTTTTGAGGCGAATGGGACAAGACATGTTCTTGCATCCGCAGTTTTTGCATTTGCATCGCAGTGGAAAAGCTAAAGCCCGTAACAACAAGAAGAAGCGAACGGATAGCCCGCTTGGAATCTCGAAGTTCGCGTCGCAACATGCACCCAGCATATTGTATGATCACCCAAAGCTACAGTGTAGACATCTACCAATTCGGAGCTTTGGCAAGCGACAGGCTTTGCCATGCTTTACCGACATTGGTCAGTGAGCCGAGGTGTCTGTGCCGCGTGACACCACCCTTGCCGACCTCAAGGCTCCTTGGGTTCTTGCAGAAACCAACTTCCTATCGGCTTGGTGACTTCGTGACCTTCGTGATGTTAGCGTAGGGTTTTGGGGGCCTTCAAGTATTGCCTCCATGAATGAGCAAAGGCCGACCTGACAGCCACGCTGGGCTGTGTCGTGACACAAGCGGATGGTCTTTGCCATGGTGCCGATACCTGGAAGGAGACCAAGGGATCAGGTTTGGATCACTAAACTCAGATATGGGAACTGTTGAATCGGAGCAAAGCAGAAGTCACTTCCCTTGCACGACGGCCAATACTGTTCGCCTCGTCCTCATCACCCCTCCATAGTTCAAACAGATGTGCAGTTCGAAGGAAGCGCCGATCCTTCGCTTGAGTTCTTCCTTGGAAGCCTTCACCCTTCGTCTCACGCGCACTTTGGGACCTTTGGCTCACTAGAGGATCCGCAGTCTCGCCCGCTCTTGCACGTGGCGGGCGATTCCGTGGTTTCTCGGCTGCCAGGCTGCTTTACGGAGGGCCCAGGAACTTGGCAGTTTGGGAAGTCGGGTTTGAGCTTGTGCAGCTTAGGTTTAAGGGTGGCCATCGCAAGCTCACAGAGAGCCCCAACCTTGAAACTCTACCTACCTTGTCAGGCCGCTGTTGGGATGCGAGCCCTGAATACAAGGTACATCTGATGTAGTGGAGTGATCCGGTCATGATCGATCAACTCAAAAGACATCTGACATCTCTACGGGCTACATGATCTTGATGTGGGCTGTTTGCGGGTTGAAGAGTTCGGGCAGATGGACATATGATATATGTGTTCAGCGGTCAAGCAAAACGAAATTCGGGTGTGTTTATTGCTCTGGAGCAGCTTGCGCTACTCCATAAGAGTTGGGGATAGGCGAGCATGCAATCGATTGTTTAACGATGTTAGGAAAGTGGGGCGAATGCCAGAAGACAAGCTCTTCAGACTGTTAGTTCGACAGTCACCTGCATGGCCACACTGCGTTTCTTGCAAGCATCCTAAATCCCAAACGCCGACATCCTCAAACCCACGCCCAGCCTCGACCCGCCTCAACTCCCACATCCCGGAAATTGCGAGAATTTTTCGCAACACCTCCCGCCCGAAACGATAACCATCATGAGCCCTGAGCTGGCCCTGAAGACTAAACGTCGTTGGTTCTGGGGCGAGCACAGGGTTCCATACCGGAGGTCTTGAAGCATCAGTCAATGCCCAGGAAGTGACATGGGTGAAGCGCGAGGGCGTGAGTCCTGGGGACTTGTCCCGACCCTAGACTTCAGGCTTGAACCCTCGAGGTTGTTTCATGCGTTTTGGGTTGAGGGCCCGGTGGCTTGTTCTGATGATGTTGGGTTGTCGTCAGTTGCACGTACAAGCCGCATGAGCTTGTGTTTCAAGTGTTTGCAAGCTTCTTGTACCAAACAATTTGGGACATGGATTGGGCGGCATGGGCCAGCATATCATAGCCCCATTCCGGAAACTGCCGCAAAAGCACCCGGGACACTACTTTTGATGAGGCTCAGAGTTTCAATGTCCGTGGATCTTGCGGCTGTCTCGCAGGCCATGGCGTGCTCTGACCTTGTTCACTGGCGTCACCAGAATCGTATTCCACGCGCTTGGGTCGTCCCACATGCCCTACGGCAAGGTTTTTGGGTTGCTGGCTCAACCTTTGTATGGCAAAGCTTACATGCAGAGCCCGAGCGTGAAGTGAGAATATTATCTTGGCGCAACATGCCGCTCGCAAGTTTCGCGGCAAGTGCTCAGCACTGCCACCCAAACTTGTTCCTAGTCTCGGGAAGTCGCGCTAGGCACGCTTTGCCAGCACTGTTCGATCCGGAAGTGGGGCCTCACGTGTCGCACAGAGGATTGTGATGCTTCTGGCACATGCTGGAGCATACTGTGGCGAAAGAAGATGAAAGCCGGGGTAGAAGAAGCGAACAGAACCC